CCATGGAAGGAGGTAGTTCACCGGTGTCGCACCCCACCGGGAACGTCTCCCCCCTGGCAGCCAGAGTGCTCGCGCCGCCCGAGGGTCCGCTTTAGGGTGATGCGATCGCATTCCCTCGGCACAGCACACAGAGGCTCCGGCCCCGCCTCGGAATACGTCCGAGCGGCCCGGAGCACCCCTCCCCCGCGGTACCGTGAGAGGATCCAAACCCTCACGGTGTGCAGACCTGGGTGTGGGTACCTCCCTCCGCCCGGCGACCGGTGGCCAGGACGGATGAGGGAGAGGATCGTTCCCTTTGGCTGCCGGAGCACCGGCGTGCAATGCCTCCGGGAATGAGTCCTCTGGTTGGCGCCTGAGGGTGTCTCGACCCGACCTCGGAATACGTCCGAGCGGCCCGAGACACCCCTCCAGCCCCGGGTCCATGGGAATAGGACCATTGTGTACAGACCCGGGTGTGGGATCCTCCATTCGCCCAGCCGTGGCTGGGACGAATGGGGGAGAGAGATCCTCCCCTCTTCGGCTGCCGGAGCACCGGCGTGCAATGCCTCGGAGGGTGAGATCTCTCAGGACGTGATAGGATACCCCGACCCCGACCTCGGAAACGTCCGAGCGGCCGGAGTACCCCTCCGTACTCAGGCACCATGGGGGGGAGGATCCCCATGGGGTGGAGCCCTGGATGCGGGTACGTCCCTCCGCCCCGTCTAACCACAACGGTCCGATCGAGGTAGGAGGAAGGGTTCTTTCTCTTCGGCTGCCGGAACACCGGCGTGCAATGCTCAGAGAGAGAGGTCCCCTTCCTAGAGTGGGTGGAGGAAGCCATCCCTGTCGGCTGCCGGAACACCGGCGTGCGATGCCTTCAGGGATGTGATCTCCCTCCCACCCGCTCTGTGACCATGCTGGTCAAGGACCAGGCTGGTCACTCAGCCCGGTCGGGTGCTCTTGGTCCAGTCCCTCCGTACAGACCACTCCGGGCATGGTAGAACCTGCCAGGGGTCGAATCCCCCGCCGGCACAACTCTGTACATCATCGGGACCTTGAAGCCTCCCCACCACGTCAAGGTGGCACCCACGGGGAGGAGAACTTCATATTTTTTTTTTTTTTTTTTTTTTGACGAGGAGGAAATCCATCATGGATACCCTGACCCTCGGGGAAGGGCCAGGGTTATGCCGGACTCCTACCGGCTAAAACCTCCCCCGGTGGCGCTGCGAAGGGACTTGGGTCGGGGCCCCGTGCCGCGTAACTGCTAATCGGGGCCCCGAGTCCAGGTTTGCACCTTCTGTCCCTGAGGGGCGGGGTGGGGGAGGGGGGAAGCCGACCCGAGGGTCCGCTTCGATCGCCGCTCCCCCAGGGGAAGGGGGAAGCCGGCCCGAGGGCCCGCTTCGACCACCGTTCCCCTTTCCCACCCCTCACGCCTCGTCTCTTTGGTCGGGAAGGGGGGAAGCCGGCCGAGGCCCCGCTTCAACCACCGTTCCCGACCAGACGAGGCGCCGCCATGCACGTTGTGTGGCTGACTGACCCACCGTATCAAGCCAGCCACCCTACCTTGGGAGGGTTAGTTGGGGCACCGGGAGTCCCCGCCCGGTGCCCCACCCTCCCGCCCGACGGTTGCGGGGAGATAACTCCCCTAGCCGCCGGGCTCTCCCCACCTCCGCGGAGGAATGGGGCGGGGGGTCCTAAGTGACCCCCCTCCCGCATATCCGATTTTATCATCGGAACTGCGATTAAAGGGGGGAGGGCATTTTCTCGACGGTTTTGTTGCCATCGATACCCTCTCCCCCCTTACTTCATCCGACTCCCTTCTTGGGGGGGAGTCGGCGGTCTGCGGGTGTAGGGGCCTGGCCTCAGCCGTGCCCTCCACCCGCTCCTCCTCCCGTCGCTGCTGCCCTCAGCGCGGCAGCAGGGGGTGGCGGTGGCGGCGGCGGCGGCGTCGCCAGTCACCCCTACCGCAGGGGGGCGGTCAGCATTGCCGCCGCCATCATCAAGGGGTGAGCGGTGTAAAACCACCACCGCCCCCCCTCTGTCTCCCTCTTCTTTGGTTCCAGCGGGGGGCACGTGCCCCCTGCGGGTTCCTCGTCTCGCTCTGGTTCCTGGGGGGGAGCAGGAGGGGGAGGGGGAAGGAGGTGGTGGTTGACCCACCATCCTCCTGAGCTCCGTCCTCCTCCGACGAATCAACTCCCCCTCCCTATTCCTGCTCTCCCCGCCCTCCACTGGCGGTGGTCTTTCGCGCCGCCTCCTTTCCTTCCCCTGCCTTCCGCCCTTCTCCGCATCTCTTCCGCCTCCTCCTTCTGCGTCATGACTGATTCACAGAAGGAGGAGAATGCCTCCCATCTGTTCTCACTCCCGAGGATCGCCCCGATTATCCCCGGGAGTGAGAGGTCCTGGCCCAAGGCCCTGCCATGACTCCGCGCTCAGCACTCCAGGTGGGGCATTCCTCGAGTGTATGTTGCGCGGAGTCATGGTCGTGTCCGCAATGGTGACATGTCGCCGTGCGCTCCTTGCCTATACGGCACAGGTACTCACCGAAGCATCCATGCCCGGTGAGCACCTGTGCCATCCTGAAGGTCCCGAAGGTCAGGGTCCCGTGGGCCCTTCCTACCCACTCTGGCAGGAAGGGCCGGACGGCCTCGACGGTCCTCCTTCCATACCTGGCATTAGCCAGGAGTCCCTGCCATCTTTGAAGGAGGACCAGTCGAGTCTGGTGCTTCATTCTTCTTATCGTCCTGGCGAGCGGTTTTCCGCCCCCCCCGTATGTAGGAGCTCCGCTTCCTGTCATACATTCGATTGTATGACAGGGCCATGAGCTCCAAGAGGGGCATGCTCGCCAGGACCGTCGCCGCCACGTGGGATACCGTACGGTAGCAGCGGGCCACCCTGACCGCCAGCGCCCTTTGCACCCTGCGCAGGGTTGCTTGTATCGGGCGACTGACGGCCAGGGCTTCCGCCCATATCGGTGCCCCGTACAGGGCTACCGAATTGAGTACCCCAGCGTGGAGGCGACGCGCCTTCCATCTGGTCCCCCGGTTCTCGGCATGAGTCTGCTGACTCCACTCGAGACAGCCTCAACCGGGGGACCAGGCGATTGAAGTGTTCTTTGAAGCACCAGGTGCCGTCCAGGGTGAGGCCCAGATACCTCATCTGGGCCTCTATTGGGACCCTGACCCTTCCCACTCTGATCTGGGCCTGGGGTGGCTTCATCCTCCTGCCGTGGAGGAATATCGCCTCGGTTTTCCTTTCCGCCACCACCAGACCCAGTCCGCGAATGGAGCGCACGACGCATGCCACCGCGAAGTTGGCCGTTCTCACGGCCTCCCCCCAGTCTCTCCCCCCGGCTAGGATGAGCGTATCATCCGCGTAGCAGATGATGCTACAGCCGGGGGGGAGGGCAGTTTGGAGGGCAGTTTGTAACCGAGGTTCCACAGGAGGGGGCCCAAAACGAACCCCTGTGGAACCCCGCAACTCATGCCCCTCTCGCATACCCTGCCGTCGGCGTCTCTCCAGGCTAGACGCCGACCCCGGAAGTAATCCCTGACGATGGCCACGAGGTAGGGTGGGAATCGGAAGTGGCCTCCCATGGCCTCCACCACCCTACCCCAGGGCAGGGTGTTGAACGCGTTGGCGATGTCTAAAGACACCGCCACCGCCAACCCGCCCTCCTGCACGATGGCCTCCGAGAGGGACCGCAGACGCCGAATCGCGTCTACGGTGAAACGTCCCTCCCGGAAGCCGTATTGGCCATCGTCAAGGTTCGGACCTTCCCGGGACATATGCTCCACGAGACGGGCAGCTATGATGCGCTCGAAGAGCTTGCCCGCCTCGTCCAGGAGACATATGGGCCGGTATGCGGAGGGGGTGTCCTCCGGTTTGCCCTCTTTACGGAGGAGGACCACATTGGCCCTCCCCCAGACTGGGGGGAACTTGCGTTCCCTCAGGGCTCGCGAAAAGATCTTCGCGAGCCTTCCGCCTAGGTACCCCGAGGCCAGGGTAAGGACGCGGCCGGGGATTCCATCGGGTCCTGGCGCCTTACGGCTTTTGACCCTCTTGATGGCCCCGGCCACCTCCTCCTCGGTGACCCCGGTACCACCCCTTGTTGTTCAGGGGTGGGGGCAACATACGGGCTCATGGGGTCCCCTCCCCTGATCGGGAAGAGGGTCCCCATGACCCGCTCCAAGAACCGGGGGTCGAGCGTCTCCGTTAGTGGGGCGTCCATGGTTTCAGTTTGTTCATCACCATTTTATATGGACGCCCCCACGGATCCGCGTCCAACGAGAGGAGGAGGGTGTCCCACCCTTTACCTCTGGCTGCCCCAATCGCGTCCCTCAGGGATGCCGCCGCGAGGCAAAACTCCCTTCGGGCAGCCAGAACAGCCTCGGGGTCCGAGTGAGGGTCGTTGCATATCCTTCTAAAGGCCCGCCTGAGGTGGACCGACTTATGCCTGAGATCGGCTATGGCGTCGGTCTACCACCAGGCGAACCTTTTGGGGCAGGACCTGACTCTGGGCATGGCTTCGTCACACGCATGTGCGATGACTTCCATAATTTCCATAACCTCAGAGTCAAGGTCCCGCCCCTCCTTCTGCCGTGGCCAGGTGGCAGCCTCCAGGGAGATATCTAGGGCCTCCCTGTCCAGCTGGTTCAGGGACCATCTCCCCGGTCGGGGTTGCTTCCGTGGTTGTCTGGACCGCAGGCCCTCGGGAGTGACGGACAGCTCCATCTCTATCAAAAGATGATTCGAGAGAGCTTCAAGCTCGTCCGCCACCCTCCAACTCCGCACCCGCTTCAGGGCCGCAGGGGAAGCCCAAGTGAGGTCGATGATCGATTCCCCCCGCGACCCTACGAACGTTGACTCTCTTCCTTCGTTCAGCAGGTGCAGATCAAGGCCCGCGGCCCAATCTTCCACCTCCTCCCCCCTCCTGTCACCATCCCGGGATCCCCACAACTCCAACTTCGCATTGAAGTCCCCGGCGATGATGACAGGTTCAGGGAGGTACCGTCTGACGGCCCTCCCCATATCTCGGAGCCTGGACTTGAAGCTGGGAAAGTCCAGGCTCTTTGTTGGGGGGAGGTATACCCCGACCACAGTCAGGACCCCTCACCTGGCCACGACGTATCCCTCTCCGCTACCCATATAGGTAGCGGGGGGAGAATTACCGCCCGCCTTCCAAATAATTGCGACGGAGCCCAAGTTGTCCCCAAACCATCTTAGATGGTTTCTTGGGACTTTGTAGGGCTCCGCCACAATTCCCAGTCCTGCACCGCGCTCGGTCATGGTATGCTCGAATAACGGCAGTGCCTGCCGAGCGCGGTGCAGATTCGATTGGAGGAGCCGTGTGTCCATTACAGTTGGATTAGTAACTTCTCCACAGGCCCCTCCTCTTCCTCACTCCCACTTCTTCTTGCGGGTCGCTATCTTTTCTCTCCCCTTCTTTCAATGTCCATGTCCTCCCCCTTATCCTGCGATTCATCTACCGGGGTAACTGGACCCATGGATTCTACAGGTGGGGAGGGCTCTTGCTCCTTGTCCCCGCTTCCGTCCGTTATTTCCTTAGAGGGAGAAGGGGGGCGGGTGGCATCGGTGCGGTTGCCTCCGCTTCCTGCCCCTCATCCCTCTTCTTATTCCTCCTCTTGTTGGGGGGGCGACACGCCGGTCCCCCCATTCGGTGACCTGCTGGTTTTCCCGCCGCCGCACATACAGCGCATCTTGCCGCTTTTACGCAGTTGCGGGCCAGGTGGTCCGTTTCACCTATAGCATCTATAGCAGATATTTCTCCTATCTACCTTATTGCTGCAGTTCTGTTGCACATGTCCTCTTTCGAGGCATCTGTAGCACTGCAGAGGCCTTGTTTCCAGAAGCTCCGCTTTTACCTGTGTCCAACCCAGAGACAGCGTCCCTTTCTCCGCCACTTTTTTGGCTGCTGCAAGTAGGCACCTCATCCACAGTGACCTATATCCTGATGGTGTGGTCCTTATTACTCCCGTTTGGACTTGCTCCACTTTGCAGCAGCCAACTTGGGCCACCCGCTGTGCAGCCTCCTCCTCTGAGGTGGACACCTCCAGGCCCCTGATCCTGATCTCCCCCATTTTTGTGGGCGGGTCACCTTTGCCTTATCTGCGAGTATTTCATTTAATTTTCTGGCAAGATTATCTGCCTGTGCGTTGCGATCCTCGCCTGGGATCTCCAAGATCAGGGCTCCCGTAACACCTTGTCTCGTCCTGATCTTGGAGATCCCTAGTTCGTCTATGTTGATTTTCTTCTTTGCTTCCGTTAGGATTTCTTTGTACTTCCCTTTTTCCGCGGAGATTGAGATTGCCGCGGTATTGGGAACTCTCCTTTTGCTCTTTTTATCCACACTTTTCTCCTTTACTATTATTTTCGGAGGATTTTTGCCTTCATCTTTTTCTTTTCTTTCTCTTCTTCTTTCTTTTCGACCCACCACCGTTGCCCAGGATTCCTTGGGTTCTGAGCTGAACCTCGGGAGCCTTTGCGGTAGGGGTGGGTCTTCTTCCCTTGGGGGTGGTGGTGGAGCCTTGGGCTGTTGTTGCGGCCTCTGTTTCCTTTGGCCGTTCGGCATTATCCTCCCTCCTTTCTTTTTCCCTTTCTTCTGGGCGTTTTCTTCCTTGCGACCCTGGTCTGCCATATTTTTTTCTCCCATAATTTCATGGCTTCATGGACTATGGAAGTAATTTTTTCCTCTTCAGTTTCTTTTCCCATTAATTGGCTTCCTCTGTCCATTCTCACTTTTGTGCTTAATTGCACATCCTCCCTTATTCTTGGCTTCCCTTCCTTTTTGGGATGCACGTTCGTCTTTATCAGCCCTCGCTGTATCTCGATTGCCCCCACCACCATTGCCTCTTCTTCCTCCATATCTACGGATGGAGGTAAAATTCTTCTCTCCTTTCTTCCCTTCCTCCTTTCCTCTTCGCTTACGTACTCCGTGGGCGAGAGGGTCGCCGTCTCGGGTGATAGCACCCTCTTTACACCACGGAAAACGTTTTCTTCGCATGTCTTAGGCGAGGAGGACACCTTCATTGATGACGGTGCCTTCTTTATACTCGGACATGTATCCTGCCCGTGCTCCAGGTGCGAGGGGGACACCGCCCTCGATGGTGGTGCTTTCCTCATTTTTTGGAGCGTTTCCCTCATCTCCTCCAATTCCTTCTTCAGTTGCTCCTGTGATGTTCTGAGCTGTCGATTCTCCTCCCTTAACTCACCCAGGAGGTCCATTTCCTCCCCGCCTTGTCCCATGGCCATTCTCTTCTCGAGAGTTGACGTTCCTGCTGTGATGGCTGCCGATGCGTCCCGTAGGAGTTTTACATACGTCCCTTTCAGGTTTTTTGAACGTACTGAAAATCCCAGGATTTTCGTTGATGCCTCTAAGATTGAGGCAGCTACGTCCCTGAAGGGAGCATTCTCCATATCCTCCGTTATTTTGTGAAGTTCTGCTCTATACTTCCTATTTATCGAGCAGTCTTTAAAGGCCTGCGTAGGATTTTCCAATCCCTTTAGCAGGCTCTCTTCCTTCTTCACCTTCAACAGACTCTCTTTCTTGGCCATGAAAATTTTTTTCTTCTCGTACTCCCCTGTTGTTCGGGGTCTTCCTCTCGGTCGAGTTGCTTTCTCCTCGAACTTTTCTTCGTCCGTTTCCCCGTTAGATTTAGTGGGGATGTCCCACTTCCCTTCGGGGTGATCTCCTCCGTCCGAGGATGTATCTTCGGCCGAAGGTGTGAGTTCACCCTCGTCCGAGTACGAGCTGGACCTGTTTCGGGGTGTTCTTTGCCTGCCTTTGTTTGCACTCCGGAGTCCCTCCCTTTTCGGCAACCGGCTTGTGCTCGGTTGGCTCTCCGGGATATCCCCGGCCTTCCTTCTGGAGCTGCATGCTCGCTCCAAGTTGTTCGTGTCCTTTTTCTTTGCCAGGGTCGTCTTATCATTGTCCAGGTCCGAGGAAGAATTGTATGAAGAATCAGTCATTTTAGTTTAAAACCCACCACTCTGCACGGCTCCGGTGCCCGGGCATGCCCGCATCCCCCCGGAAAGGGGGAGCCTCCGAGTTCCCCCAGAGGAGCACCATATGGCACGGGCCGACGGAATATTATATCGTCGGCACTGGCCTCCCGCCCCCTACACGCGCCCTGACCACCATTTCTGGTGGCCAGACCGCTTTCGGGGGTCCCACACCTCCGACAATGTGGGCACCGTGC